CCTCTGCCTTCTCCTTTAAGTGCACATGTGATGGCATTTGGACCTTTCTCAAATAATCCAGGATCACCAAAATCCTCAATTTAGCCATACCTGAAAAGACCCTTTTTTCCAAATAAGGTAATATTCATAGTTTCCGAGGAGTATGGTCTCCTATCTTGGGGATGTAGGAGCATTATAACTACTTACCACATCCCGTTAGTAATTCATACAAGATGGTGATACGGTCGGATTGATTCCATAACAGATCTCTCTGGGGGAACAGGCTACAGGAGGTAAGGGGCACGCTACTGCAGCAATCAGATGAGAGATGGCAAAGCTTTGAGAAGTGAAATCAAACACAGATCTGCCTCAGTCACAATCCACTAATGAGGAGGCTGAATACTAGTTAAGAGGAGGATTCAGGAGCCAGGATTCCTGTTGTGCCACTTGCTAGCTTTTTGCTTTTGGCAAGTCATTTCTTCCTCTGTCAAGTACCTGCTCTAGATCCACTGCTAAGCATTTTGTCAGCTTTTTCACTGCTGTGACTAAAAGAATTGCCCAGAGCAATTTTAAAGGAGAAAAAGTTTATTTGAGGCCTCACAGTTTCAGAATCTTAGTTCACAGAAGGCTGGCTCCATTCCTCCTGGCTTGAGGTGAGGCAGGACATTATGGCAAAAGAGTATTGCAGAGGGACACAGCTCACATGGTGGTCAGAAAGCAGAGAGAGACTCCACTTTCCGGAATCAAAATATAGACCCCAAAGCCACACCCCCAATTCCCACCTCCTCCTGCCACACCCCACCAATTCAGTAACCACTCAGTTAATCAATGATTAATTCACTGATTAGGTTAATGGTATAACTTAATCATTTCTCCAAACCTTCTTGCATTGTCTCACATTTGAGCTTTTGGGGGATACCACTCTAAACCATAACACTAGGATTCAGAGGAAAAAAAATGTATAGAAAGTTTTACAGAGCCCAGTCAAAAGAAAACTCAATAACTATTTGCTATTGTCATTTTATTTATACCTGACATTGCACATTTCCATTGTATTGACTTATGACATATAGACTGGAAACTAAAACCCAAGTGGAAAATTAAATGAATTTAAAAACTCCAACAGGTAGAAACTTGTTTTCGTATGCATTATAAAGAAGTCACTTATACTATGTGGTATAAAGATTTTATAAAGGACTACAGTATTTTAGAAGTTTATCTTGACAATCAAATTCTTTAAACTTCCAGATGTCAGAAGTTCAAATCACATATTAAAATCTAACAACTAAAACTTCAATTTAATATGTTGTGGGGAAATAATTAAAACAATCAAAGACCACAGAAAAATTATTCCTTTTTCAAAAGATACACTAGGGTTAAACTATGTAACATGTATATAACAACTATATTTTAAAGTGTTCCCAAATTTAAGGAACTTAAATTAGAGGTGAAAATATTTCCCCTCTAGATTCTTACTTAAATTTTACCTCAAGATGAATGGCCTAACTGCAGTACCACTCATCATCCACTTTGGATACAATTTAGAAAGTAAACTTCAAAAATATAATGGAATTAGTTCAATTCCGATCCTAACTATGTTTCTGCCATTTTATTTTTAATGTTAAATTACTGCATCTCTAAAACTGAAAACGACAATTTATTTTTTAAAATCCATTTTCAGTTAAGACATTATTGTAAGGATGAAAGTCAAATTCAAGAAAACAAAAATACAAGTTGTGAAATTTTGTAACACAAAAAGCAAGCAAAATCTCCAGTGCTATTTTATCTGATGATCTTTAAGTTAAAGACAAAGTAAGGGTTAGTTCTAAAAACTGCATATATTTATGTCACAAATGAACCATGGAATTATTACTTCTTGCATAAAAAATGTTTATCATTGATATTTTTATATTCTTTCAAAGTAAATCATTTATAGAAAAAACAGAATTAGTAAACAGTTAGATTATTTTTCCTCATGGACTTAATAGATCATCAACTAAGATACTGAAAACTATCAGGACCATAGTATACTCAAGCCAGAAATCTGGAAGCCATCCCTCACTTCCTGAATCCAATCCATTATGAAGTTCTCATCACTCAACCTCAATAAATGTATCTCAGGCATTACCTCACACTCTACTGTCTGAACAAGTCATCTCAACCAAGCCACCATCAAATATCATAAGGACCAGTGACGAAGCTTCCTACTTGTCCCATTCCAATCCACTCTCCATAAAGTAACCAAAATGATCACTGTAAACTGTAAGTGGGATCAAATCACTGTCCTGCATGAAGCCTTCAATGGCCTTACACCGCCTAAGAATAAAACTAACTATGAAATGCTCTGACCTCTTCTGCAGTCATAGCCCACCCCCACCCACTAGGTTCCAGCCACACCTGCCTCTCTGTTTCACCAAGCTGCTGAACCTCAGGCTACCTGCTATTCTCCAGAGACTCTTAAATGGCTGTTCTCCACATCCCTTCAGTTTTCAGCTCATCAAAGAGGCTTTCCAAGACTTCCCAGCACAGCAGGTTACCCTGCTACTTTATATCATCTTCTCCTGTTCTTTACACTCAAAGCCCTTAACAAAAATGACAATTATACCTTTTGTCTATTTGTTGAAAGTCTCTTTCCCCTCTGTACTACAGCCTTCCTGGGGACATGTTCCTCATCTGTATTTTATTCCTCTCTATTTCCCCAGCACTTAGAACAACAGTGCCTGTCCCCTTGAATGAATGAATGAATGAATGAATGAGAATGTTATTATTACAAAATGCTCACTTTGGGATACAAGATTGATTTTTTTCATAAAATTAACTAAGAAATTTTGGTCATGGCAAAATGAATAAAGTGGCTATAGGATTTCTGTCATGGCTTCACCACTGGAAAGCAAGCATTCACAGAAACAGGGCCCACCTGAAAAGAATGCTAACCAGGAGAGCAATAAGTCTTCACAATCTCTCAATGTAATGATTTTAAAATGACTTGCACATAAGCAGAGTTTCCATCATTTGAAATTGGGCTGATTAAATGTCTGGCCACCTACATTACATATTAAACACTCAATAAAAGTATTTTTGGAGTTGCCCCTATAAAGCCTCTCTCATTTGTTTCATTCTTCGGCATTTTTCCATAAAGCCAGAATCACACAATGCTCTATTCTATATCCTTATTCTTTTTCATAGTTTTTAGGCCCTTCTGATCCAGAATATAATTTGAGACCTCTTTTAACTTTTTTTTTTTTAAAAAAATCTCTTCAAACTTAGTTTAGGGAAGGTTAAAGGAGGATACTAACAAACTGTTGTTATGATTAACTAAAGAAACAAAGGCAAACTTTTAGCAATAAAGATTTCTTAATACAAAAGTAGTATAAATTTTATTTGCATGCATTTAATCAGTTAATCCTCTTTATTATGGATCACTTTTAATGATTTTAGGAGCTTAATAAAATAATATCTTTCATAACTCAAGCAGGCCTTACAGTTTCAGAAGATTTATATTCCTATAAATATAACATAGTGAGTGTATATTCTTTTGTTTTATTTTTTGATGCTGGGCCTCACATATTCAAGCATATGTTCTTTATACATTCTCATAAAATTAATGCTTTCCTGAGAGTTCTTATGTAATTGCTTTATTGTGGGGCCATAAGCCAAAGAATTTTGGCAAAATAATTTAGAGACTGCTAACAGTCACTACTCTGTATCTTTCATCTTTTATTCCTGCTTTATACAGCACTGAACTTTCAACATGCTCTCTTGGAACAGATTAGCCAGCTCAACACAGAGTATGCAGCTTACTTAATATTTCTGGCTTTAAATCTTATTTGCTTATTTATATTAATTCCGTTATCAAGAGGATCTAAACATCTATTCCTCTCTACAGTTGTTTAACTAGCATTTCCAGGGTTCCCTGCTATTAGGCTTAGGTCAGTTAATATCATTGAAAATTGAACAGGAAAATGAACCTGGTCTGAGTAGATGGCATTCTTCTGGAAAAGAAAAACAGATATGAAAAAGCTTGATTCACATGTGAATTACATGCAATACCAAACTAAACATTATCTCAATTCACCACTCTAACCAGTAAAAAAAAATCATATTGCATCTGCATGCAGATGTAGGTAGCTTATAAAAATGGCACAGTCCATCCCTCATCTAAACCCAGGAACCAAAACCATGCCAGATCTGCCTAAAAAGAAAACCTGGGGACACACACACAATAACAGTATTTTAAACATATATAAATCAATTTTAAAAATTAAGAAAAAATATAAAACCAAATAAAAAGCCAAAGCAAAGTGTACAAAACTTGCCATTAGCAAAGCATTATCTCCACTGCCATGTAACCTCCCTGACCCCATGAGCAGATAAGCTTCTGAAGAACACAGACTGCTGTCTGCTTTATTCTTTCAAGTTCTTTAAAGAAGAGACCACACATAGATGCCAATAAATCATAAGTGCTAAAAATTAAATATTTAACATAACATTCAATAAATATGTAATCAGAAGAAAAAAGTATAATAGTAGAGCAAACATTTTATGTTCATAGCAAGAAAGCAAATTCTGAAGGAATTTAGGAAGCAATAAAACAAAATAAAAACAAAATTTTGGTCTTGATGGCCATAATTCAACCTTCATTTGATGATTCTTCAGTTACCAGAGGACGTTTATTAGGACAATCATTAAATTATATTATCAATGCTGTATAAATATAGATTAACATGTTAATATAGGTTTAGTCAACAAAACAAAATATTTATGATCTAAGGAGAATTAGATTTTCGAGCAATGAAAAAGCTAACTCTAAAATGTTTCTAAAGAAAAAATGGCTTGTGAAGAAATTATAACAAATCTCCCTAAATGTTTTCCTGAATTCAAAATGTATAAAGTACTCCTTCCTCTCCTCAATTACTAGATATGAAATATCAGCCACAAACCCCCAAAACTTTCTCCCAACAAAGACAACACGCTACTGGGGAAAAAATGAGAAATTGAAAGCTTATTTCATACCAACTTACTCTGACTTTTGGCAAGACTCTCCGAAGCGTCTCAGTAGGATTCTGTCGCATCAAAAATGGAAGATTTGCAATCACACTTGTTCCTTGAATATCTTGACCAGCACTTACAAAGAAAACACCAATGTTAAATTTATAATTATAAGCTGACTTCTTGATTTATAATTATAAAAGAACAGATTCATTTGAAAACTGACACTTTTAATGACTTCCTACAAAGTTTTAAACACATCATTTAAATTTTAAAATAACATCAGAAATAAAATTTCATTAAGTAAATATTATAACAAATAAATGAAGATATTAATTATGATTATACTAAGGTAATATTCTCTGTTTATACACATGTTTTAAGTCTCAAAGTCTTGAGTCTACTATTAAAATTCACTTTAAAATTCTACCTCCTTTTTCCCTACCAGTTGACTTACTTTATAAAAATACATATGCAAATGACAAATTTTTATTTTGGTAAGATAATAATCATAGGAACAAGAGTGACAGGCAATTAAAATCAACTATAGCAAAGTACACAACTTTCTTTTAGCATAATGAAATTACTTGTTACACTAGACTGGCTCCATGAGTTTCTAGAAACTTCTTAAAAATACACTTAATATTCTTAATGGTCAGTAGGGTCTGATTATACAATACCTTTTTGACAAAACATTCATTAAGGTTTTACCAAAATAATCAATATGAAACCCCAGTGGCCTAAATGCCTTCAAAAAACATTCAGATCTTCTGAAAAATCATTTCTATTAACTGCAAAAAAAAATTGTTTTTAAGATACCACTAAGTGACAAATGTTCTGCAAGTAGTTTAAATGTTTACCAAACAGATGCTAGTAAATAGCTTCAGAGGAAAATTCTATCTATCCATAACTGATGCCAACTTAAATATTAATTATTAATGATACAACATTCACTTATTTAAAATTTGTTATTTTTTTTTACTTCTCTTGAAATGGAATATTTATAGTTATCAGAGGTACATAAGACTTTTAATACATGTTTTTAAAAATAGTTTCTTAAAGTAATGTTTCTGGCTCAAAGTTTTTAAGATCTGTTTATAAGAAGTATGTTCTGATTCTAAGTGAAGCCACCCTGCTGTAAAAAAGTCTTTTTTCTTATTGCAATATGATGGGATATGAAATATAGGACACCATAATCTTTTCACTTTTCTCACCATTTTCTAAGAAAATACTTTAATGACAAAATTAAGAAGGAAAAATAGAAGGCATGAAATCAGGAACCATACCAAGACGGGGAGAGGATCAAAAAAGGGAACTTAAAGTGGCATGTAAACATGCTACTTGTAGTAGGTCAAACCATGGCCCCCTAAAAGATGTCTACTCCTAATCGCGGAGCCTGTGAATGTTTTCTTAATTTTGGAAATGATCTTGAGATGAAGAGATCATCCTGGATTATCTGGGTCAGCCCTAAATTCAATAACACAAGTATCCTTAAAAGAGTCACTCAGATGGGACTGGGGATGTGGCTCAGTGGTAGAGTACTTACCTAGTATACGCAAGGCCCTGGGTTCAATCCCCAACACCACAAAATTAAAAGTCACTCAGAGAAGAAGACAGAAGAGGGGAATGGAGTCTGATCACAGACCCAGAGATGGGAGGGACACAGCCATATGTCAAGGGATGCTGACACCCACCAGGAACTAGGGAGGCCAAGAACAGATTCTTCCCAAAGGCTCAGTTGATTTCTTATTTTCAGACTTCTTATCTACATAACTATGAGAAAATATATTTTGTTGTTTTAGGCTACCCAGTCTGTGGTAATTTGTTACAGTAATGACAAGAATTAAATACACTACTAAAGAACTAAAAGAGAACTATCTGGGGAAAAAAATTATCTCAATATAACAATGCCTGACCCAAGGTGCAGGTTTAATATATATCTCTTGAAAGAATGGGTAAATAGATGGCTAACTGGACAAACAGATATCAGAAATATTTAATATTTAATATTCAGTAAATTCCATTCACTAACTTCTTAAGTAGAAAAAAAAAGGAATGTGATCTTTAATTCATCGTAAATGTGAAAATGAAACATTTCACAGGAAGAACAAGAAGGAAAACCAAAAGAGGAAGAAGAAATCATAAACATAACAAAGTGAACAGAAACAAAAAAATAAAATGGCAGATTTTAGCCATAAAATATCAACAATTACATTCAATATAAATGGGTGATACACATAAATTAAAATGCAGGGTGTTGGTTTTAAAACATAACAATATGCAGCCTATAAGAAGCTCATTTCAATTAATATCAGCAAGTAAAGAATGGAAAATTATACATTATGGAAATGTGAATCAAAAGAAAGGAGGCTATTTCAATAGCACATAAAGAAATCCTTTGAGACAAGAAAACCACCAGGAACAGACAGGGGCCATTATATAATAATAAAAATGATGATCCACCAAGAGACACAGCAGTCTTAAATGTAGATACACCAAGGAGGGTGGCAAAATGTGAAGCAAAAAGTGATGGAACAGGAAGGAGGAACAGACAAATAAAGAAGCACAGGTGTAGACTTAAACACCCATCTCTCTGGGTAGAAAAACTGCACCAGAAATGGACTCAATAATCCCACCAACCACAAGATCTAACAGACATTAACAGAACACCTAACAACAGAATACACATTCCATTTAAAAACCCAAAGGAATCATATCAAGAAAAAACACATTTTGGACCATAAAACAAACTTCAACCGATTTTTAAAAATTAAAATCAGGCAGTTTTCTCTTAGAATAATGAAATCAAACTAGAAATCAATAACAGATAACTTAAAACTCTTGGAAATGAAACAACATACCTCTACATGCTCCAAGAGGGTTAAAGGAGTCTCAAGGGGAATTTTTTAAAATGTTGACGTAAATGAAAATGAAAATAGAACATATCAAAATTTGTGGGATACAGCTAATGCAGTGCAGAGAAGGGATTTTATAGCACTAAGTACACATTACAAAACAGGAGAAATCTCATATCAATAATCTACCTTTCCACCTCAAAAACCTAAAAGAGTAAATAATCACAATTTAAAAAGAAAGAAAACAATAAAGAGCGGAAATTAATGAGGATAAGGACAGAAAATAATAGAGAAAAGGAGTAAAACAAAGACCTGGTTGTCTTAAAATATCAAGAAAATTGACTATCCTCTAGCAAGAATGACAAAACAAAAATGGCAGAAACAAGAGAAGACACAAATCACCAATATCAGGATTGAACCAGGAGACAACACCACAGATCCTGCAGACAACCAAGGGGTAAGAAGTGAACGCTACAAAATATTCTGCACATGCAAATTTGATGACAGAAAATGAACTAGTTTCTTAAAAATAAAAAAAAGACCTTCCACAACTCACCCAATATAAAAGAGATAATTGAACAGTCCTACAATTGTTCAGAAAACAGAATTCAATATTTTCAAACTCCTAAAGAAAAAAAAAAAAACCTTCAGGTCTAGATAATTTTACTGGAAATTTAACCAAATACTTATTGAAGAATTAATACCACTCTACAGTCTTTTCCAGAAAACAGAAGGAGGAAACACTTTCTAAATCATTTAAAGAAGCTAGTATGACACCCAAACCAGGCAAAGCAACAACAAAATATAGACCACTATCTCTCATGAATATAGAGGGAAAAAATCCTTAACAAAATATTACCACGTAAAATACAGTAATGTATAAAAGGAATAATTATACACCATGATCAAATAGGAGTTATTTGAGATTCCAAATCAATGTAGTACATCATATTGACAGGCTAAAGAAGAAAAAAAACACATCATCATTTCAATGCAGAAAAATATTTGCCAAATACATGTACACTGAAATTACAATTCAGTATCATTTACAGTCACTCAAAAAAATACCAACAAATTGTGTACTTGTGTGCTGAAAATTACACAACACTGATGAAAGAAATCAATGGTTATTTTAAACAATGAGAGACATGCTCTGTTCATAGATTAGGAAATTCAGCATAGTAAATATGTCAATGCTCCCTTAACTGGTATATTTTTTGGGAGACATAGATAATATTTTTCTAAAATGTATACAGAAAGTCAAAGTAAGAATAGTTAAAACTATTTTGAAAAAGAAGAATGAAGTGAGATGAATCTGTCCTCCCAAGCTGTATTCTTTGTATACAATGGCAGTATTGCATTGGTGGGAGAACAGACTCATAAATCAATGGCAAGAATGAGAGAAGATGGCAGCGAGGGGAGTGCACTGCCCCCGTGTGCTGCGTCACTGTGTGGGAGTATGACAAGTCAGGACGGCTAAAGTCTATCTTGTTAGGAATTTCCAGCAATAGTGGGGTGCTCCGGAACCTGGAGGAAGGATTTCCATCGCACGAGGATCGGCTACGGGGACTCAAACGCGAGAGATTTGTCGCACGGAGGGTAACACTGCTTATTCAGCAAATCGCCCCGCGGCTAGAGTCTGCAGCGCGCGCTGGGAAACGAGGAGGAGATAGTGGCACAGGGATACAGCGCTGCAGTTTCTGCCAGCCGTGCAAGCACCGTACTCAGGGCTGAATTCTGGGTTCGAGACGGGGGAAGGAAGCGGTCCATTTTGGTTCTCCACACCGGTCAGACCACAGAGGAGGCCAGCGGCCACCATCTTGAAAAGCTGACATCACCATCCCTGTTTTCGACTGACCGCAGCTCATTCAGCCATAGAACAGGTAATTTCAGGCTGCCATTCGCCTGCGGCTTGCGGACAGATTGCTCGGGCTCAGTGCCTGGGTGCTTCTTGGAGCCTGCTCTTATCGGAGCGTGCACCGAGCGCGGGGCGGCCGAGTTCCAGCTCCCAGAACTGCCCTGGCCCAGGGCTGGGGAGCCCGCAGAGGCTGCTTCTTGGAGCCTGCTCTTATCAGAGCATACACCGAGCACGGAGCAGCCGAGTTCCGGCTCCCGGAGCTGCTCTGGCCCAGGGCTGGGGAGCCCGCGGGGGCTGCTTCTTGGAGCCTGATCTTATCGGAGCGTACACCGAGCACGGAGCAGCCGAGTTCCGGCTCCCGGAATTGCTCTGGCCCAGGGCTAAGGAGCCCGCGGAAACTGCTTCTCGGTCCGGGTCCTGCT